ATCTGAATTAAGCAAAGGATTTATATACTTACCTTTCCTGTCTCTCAGTGCCCTGTTGTGGTCTTGTGATACCTGTAGTGCAGTTTACTCGTGTTTCTCTCTGGTTACCGATTATTTGGCTTGTTATTTCGATTCTCCTGTATTCGCCATTCCTTTGACCTCGGCTTGTTTCTCGTTCTCCTGTTTTCTGGCTCCCTTTACTTGGCTTGTCTCCTGACTATTCTTAGTGTGCTTTAACCTGGCCATTCTAAGGACCGGTATAGCACCCTTCCTCTCTGTGACCTGTTAGCGTGTTAGGTTCCCGAATCGTGACAGTAGGTGCACTGTAAAGTGCTTCTATTACTGACACAAATCCGTCCGGTATGTCATATCTGCTCAGTACTGCCCTCAGAAACCCCCAGTGCAATCTGTCAAAGGCTTTTTGAGCATCAAGAAAAACAAACAGTCCCTCCCGATGCTGTGCCTTCAAAAAGTGTAGGAGATTGACCACTTTTCTGGTGTTGTCCTGTCCTTGTCTCCCCTTTGTGAAGCACACCTGATCGCTGTGTATTATGTACGGCAGAATTGCTCCCAGTCTATTTGCGTACAGTTTTGCAAATATTTTTGCATCTGTAATTAAGAGGGAGATGGGGCAATAGTTTTGAGGTAAGGTCATGGACTTGTTAGGCTTCAGTACTATATGGGCCACCAATATTTCCCTAGGGAGTGTGCCCTCCTGTACTGCGTTGGTGAATGTCTTGGCCATGAACGGTGTCAGTGTTATGCTAAATTTCCCTGTTGGAAAAACAGGGGATTTCCCTGTTGGGAAAACAGGGGATTTCCCTGTTGGGAGGGCCGGAATGATATCTCGTATTTCTTGGTCTTCTATCGTCTGGTGAGGTCCGTCTTCTGTTGAGGAGTGAGCTTTGGGAGTCCCACTTCGTCTAGGTATGCACTTATGCTATGGTCTGTTGGGTGCCTGGCTAGTTTGTCGTCTTTTATGTTATAAAGTGTCGAGTAATATTTGTCGAACACGTCACTAATGCCTTTTGGAGTTGCTATCTTGGTTCCCTTGTGATTCGGAAGTTGTGAGATTTTTTTGGTTTGCCTGTCTGGTTTTTATCCGGCTCGCTAACAGTCTGCTTGCCTTGTTACCTTGTGAGTAGTGGTTAATTTTGAGTTTTTGCATATATGTGCTTAGTTGAGCAAGTGCTTGTTGATGGATTAGTGTGTCGACCTGGGCAATTCTTGTCTTTGTCTCCAGGGTAGGGGTGGTTTGATTTAACCTATTTAGATTGTATAGTTCTAATTGCCATGCTTTGAGCCTGGATTGAGTAGTCTTTTTCACAAAGGCTGCCCTTCGGATCAGCAGGCCTCTTGCTACTGTCTTATGGGCAAGCCACACAGTCGGGTTTGTCACGTCTCCCTCAAGGGTCTCTACGAAGACCCCATCTCTCAGCAAGGAGTTATTTATTTTCCATGGGCTACGGTGTTTAAAGTCATACATGCTTTTTAATTTTATGGTCACCAGTGTGTGGTCTGACCACGTAATTTGATGTATGGCACTAGAAATGAGCTGGTCTAGTGCGGAACCCAGTAAGGGAAACCATCTATTTTGGAGTAAGAGTTGTGAACTGCTGAGTAGTGTGTGTACCCTCGTTCTAAAGGGTACATTATCCGCCACGTATCATATAGATGGTTGTCATGGAGAAGCTTTGCTATGGCTCTACACTGCTGCTTCATAGGGCGGTGACTCCGTCTCTGTTGGGATAGTGTGGTATCAAACTTAGGGTCAAATATGTGGTTGAAATCACTGCCGATCACTGTGATACCTTTTTGGATACTGGCTACTTTGCTTATGATTTTGTGTAGAAAGTTTCTTTGGTTAGTGTTCGGGGAATACCTGTTAACTATTGTGTAGTATGTCATTGACCAGTCCTATTACTATACATATCTGCCATTCGTGTCTACTTCTAGTGCTTGTAATGTAAACAAAACACGTTTGCTTAATAAAATAGATGCCCCCTTGGACTTAGTGGGAGACGTCGCATGGAACTGATGCGGGAAGTCAGAGGTGAGTGTTTTTGGGGTGATCATCTTGCGTAAAGTGGGTTTCTTGGAGGCACAGTATATCCACTCATAGGGTCTTGACCTCTCTATTGAGAAGGTGTCATTTTACAGGGGCATTGAGAGAGCAGATCTTCATGGTGGTTTTTTTGAGTGGAGGCTCAGTGTACCATGCGTGATTGTCTATGATTGCGAGGGCCACAGTTCTCCCCAGCCAAGAAATTCGTATTTTAAAAAGCAAACTATCACCCATTTATGTGAGTTGCAGACGTAGTCAAAATAGACTGGCTCCAGATTAAATCTCCAGTTAGGTTATTGATTAAAATTAACTTGTTTGCAAATGTACTGACAGCCATCAGTTCATTTCAATATATTGTTCATTTTCTTTTGTTTCAGTTCATACAAAATTAATTTATCTTAGAACTTATCTTATTAATAAAATGTGACTACCTGCTGTTAGCTCTATGAATTTTGGAGATATAATAAAGACATGTTAGTTCACTAATAAAACACTCTTGGCATGGTCTATATGATTTGATCTCTCCAGTACTCCTGTTCCTATCCTTTTGGTACAGGAATCTTCTCAAAGTGTAATTGTCTCATATGTGAGATCCACAGCAATGTAGTACAATATACAACACGGAACAGCAAAACAAAATTTTATTGGGGTGATATTTAATGACCCTAGTGAAACATCCAGTCACTTTAATATGGATTCCAATAGGGTGATGGTAGTGTTCAGTTACCATTCTCGTCTTTGCATGCTCGCTACTGTACATCTGCTGGACGAGTATTGCAGGGTTTGTCCCTCTGGAAAATCAGATTTGCAAGCCATGTCCGCAAGCTGTGGTGGTAATATTAGAGGGAGAGGAAAGTCTATGGGGAGAATGCAGCCTCCTAGACCTTGTAGCACAAATTTAGATATGGAACTATTTTCGGATATGCAACTTCCCGGCCAGCTAGGAGAACGGCGTTCGGGAGTAACAAACTACCAAACGAGGGAACCGTTAATTTCTTAACAACCAGGGGAAGCATTTGTCAGTTTGTTCATATGGAACTCCCGAAAGTGACCGGCCAGCCTGACCAAATTTTCTGGAACTATTTTGGGCTATCACCTCATTGCCAGTAGGTCAAAACTTTGCACAAACAAAACTTTTGTTTTACCGAGCCGATCTGAGCCCTTTTTGGATATGTTGTGTACTCAGATCAGGGCTATCCAGGAATATAATTTTTTTGTGGTTTCTGATGCTGTTTACATGTATTTTTGTGATGTGTAAAAATTGTATGTATGTTTTCCTATTTGAGAGATAATTGGATTATCTTAATTGGAGCTCAATTATCTCTCAAACACAATGGCTTGTGGGAAGGAAACCCCTGTGATTTTGTATTAGAAACCCCATGTTAGGGGCACAGCATATAAAGCACAGTGTGGCCTAATAAAGTTCAGACTGCTTCTTTTACCCAATACAACTGGTTGCATCCATTATATTGAAGAAACTCTACACAACTGGAATACTTTCACTACATTCAGCACATCTGGAATTAGGACTAGTGGAGGGTTGAAGAAATAATCACAATAGACTCACAAACCAGTGACAGGGGGCATGGCCATTAGTTCAGTGGTATCAAAACAATTTGTTCTGGAAATCTGAAGTGTACTTTGGAGTAAGGATGGAATTCTCAATGTCGAATATATACACAGTCAGAAAGATGGGCACAACATAATGTGATGACAATTTAATAATTCCAAAACAAACACAATGTGAGGACAATTTAATAAGTCCAAAACAAACATAATGTGAGGACAGTTATTTTTACTCTTCCTCTCAACAATGTAATACATTCAAAACAAATGTAAGTTCTGTTTTTTTCTTCCAATGTCAATAAAAAAAAGGAACACATGAACCAAACCAAAGTGCAATGTCGGCATAACTGAGGAGGTGGATGTAAACTTGTCCACGCCTCTGTGCTTTGTTAAGGCATGAGCATTCTAAATTCACAAACAGATAAAATAGAATCTAGTATTATCACTGCTTATTGGCAATATAAAAGCATTACATATTATAGCTACCAGCAGCAACCGATACATCATATGCATAAACGTAGGAGACAGGAATGTAAATAACAAACGTTAGCTTTTATTTTTTTTCTGTCAGTCTGCTTTTTATTTGTGGCATAAAAGGTATGTTACAGAAATAAGACAAGTGAGTTATAGCAAACGTGTACATTGCTAAACTCTGAAAAAATTCAGCCTTTAAAAAAAAAAAAAAAAAAAAAAAAACAAGTTTGAACAAGCTAAACCATAGAGAATATGAGCTATGCATATGTTTAAACGGACATGCTAGTTTAACGCACAGGATGTAGGGTGTAGGGTGCCCACAAAAAGGGAAAAGTGCTGTGTCCACTCTGGCAATGCAATATTTAAATAACTCATCCCACCAATGCTGCATGGTGGATACTGCCCTGATAAAAGTGGAGATTAAAGTCCCTCAAGTTTATACCCCACCAGCTGCAGGCACCACTGTTTACTGTTCAAAGCACCTGGCTCACAAGACCCCTTGTGGAGTACGACCAGGACTTGACATTGTGATCCCTGAACAAGCCGGCGTGCCATAGGATGAGCGGAAACCTTCTGATGTTGTGTGAGGTGCTTGGCGAGCTTTCACAGAGTGGACCATAGCCCAGGGAGGTGGGGCAGCTTTGGAGTGTTGCCCAGGTGAAGCGTGTTGTAAAGCGGTGTGATGTAAGGTGAGTGCTAGAGGGATATCCTCTGTTACGCTGAGGTGACAGGAGATTTTGGACCAAAAGTCGGTAAACAGGCAATTCAGCTTCTTAGAGATAGAGGGTTGCGGCTCTCGGGGTGCAGATGGATATGTAGTAACTTCCATGGTTTCCACATCAGGTTTGTTGCATAGGAAGGTGGTATGTCGCCACCATGACACAGGCAGAAGGTGCCGGGATATTCCTCACCGGTGGGGGGAGGTGAATGGGAGAACTCAAGATAAGCATACAGCTCCTGGATAGGAATCAGCCACATCCCTCGCGGGAACTGTGAGTTTGTCTCTTAAAGGCCACAGCTCGATCCCTGATGATAGCCACTGATCTCGGTCAAAAACCAGGGGGCAGCAACTGCAGTGGGTTACTCCCATCTCTAGGGTATAACTGCTGCTAACATTTAGGACTGAGGTGAGAAATTAAGGTGATGTTACAGCTTTTCTGCCCAGAGCTCTCAAGACTTGCAACTGGTCAGCGCGGCTGCTAAACTTAGGCCCGCCACATTTGCTTTTTCTTAATCAAATTAATTGGAGATGATATAGAAACCACCTTTCCCTTGATATCCTCTGTGAAGACAGGCGGTAGTAACTTTCAGTTCGTTTTTTGGGAGGGGTCAACACTACTAATTGGAGGCCGCCAGAAGAGATGCCACTTCTGCCACTCGTATATGAGATGGAGCTCCATCAAAGTTTTTCCCATGCAGTTTAGATTTTACATTTGTTTGAAAAATACATTGTAAAGTGTTTAAACTTTTCAAAACGCCTGTCATACCACGTGACCGATTTACTTCTCTCGAACAAACCTGAATATAGCTCGGAACATACTGTAACTCCGCGCACGTTTTTGTTTCAGAGAAAGACTGTTATTATAGCTTTTGAAAAATGAGAACGAAACTAGAATTTCTGCTGTACCACATGACAATCGGCTAATAAAAATGACAACATGTATAAAACCAATAGGTTGTCCAGCAACTATTCAATATGTAACATTATATTATTAATAATAATAAATTGTCTGAAGAAAAACATTATTTTATACAGTAACTTTGTTGAATGGTCAAATGACAATAATAATTATAATAGTGATCTCCACAGAAGCAATATGTTTTTCAGCTACATAATATATATTATTAGGCAGAATGACAATTTCTGTATCTTCACAAATCATGTAATCAGAAATAGTTAAAAATCAAAACATCACCTAGAATCGCAGCTGCAAGTTGTCATATGGGACAGACAATAATGCATTTTTATGCCTGGATAAATTCATCTCTGGTGACGGTAGAAGCATATAATTCCGACTTGATTTGCTATCTCAACTGCTTTTAAAAAAAACAAAAAAACCCTCACTGACGCAGTTTGTCTCTGGATAAATCATTGCAAGGTGTACATTATGGAGATAATTTACTACACTGGAATTCATTCAGAGGCAAATCTTCCCGACGGCATTTCAGTTCTCTAGTTTGTTTGTTTTAAAAAAAATTATATTTTTTTAAAAAAAAAACCTGTATTCCTATCGTTTTGTTTCCATGTCCCCAGTTACCAAGATCCCCCTACCCACTGTGTGTGCCTTAAAAAAAGAAAAAAAACAACAGAGTAATATAGAAGGTTGCTAGATGAAAACACACAGAAAAAAACATGGCAATATATGTATTGAGGAATTTCAGGATACATATTATTATGCGTGTATCTACAGCAGAATCATGCTTTTCCAAAAAAATCTTACCAAAACATGGATGTTGTTAATAAATATATAAAAAGACAACATATGAACTGTACTACCACATCCCTCTCCCTCCCTATACAGTCCTTTCACCTCCCTCACCCTCCAAATATCTTCTTCACCCTCCCAATACAGTCCTATCACCTCCCTCACCCTCCCAATACAATCCTATCACTTCCCTCACCCTTCCGATACTGTCCTATCACCTCCCTCACCCTCCCAATACAGTCCTATCACTTCCCTCACCCTTCCGATACAGTCCTATCACCTCCCTCACCCTCCCAATACAGTCCTATCACTTCCCTCACCCTTCCGATACAGTCCTATCACTTCCCTCACCCTTCCGATACAGTCCTATCACCTCCTTCAGCCTCCCAATACAGTCCTATCACCTCCCTCACCCTCCCAATACCCTCCCTCACCCTCCCAATACAATCCTATCACTTCCCTCACCCTTCCGATACAATCCTATCACTTCCCTCACCCTTCCGATACAGTCCTATCACCTCCCTCACCCTCCCAATACAGTCCTATCACCTCCCTCACCCTCCCAATACAGTCCTATCACCTCCCTCACCCTCCCAATACCCTCCCTCACCCTCCCAATACAATCCTATCACTTCCGTCACCCTTCCGATACAGGCCTATCACCTCCCTCACCCTCCCAATACAATCCTATCACCTCCCTCACCCTCCCAATACAATCCTATCACCTCCCTCACCCTCCCAATACAATCCTATCACTTCCCTCACCCTTCCGATACAGGCCTATCACCTCCATTACCCTCCCAATACAATCCTATCACTTCCCTCACCTTTCCGATACAGGCCTATCATCTCCATTACCCTCCCAATGCAATCCTATCACTTCCCTCACCCTTCCAATACAGTCCTGTTACCTCCCTCACCCTCCCAATACAGTCCCATCATCTTCCTCACCCTCCCAATACAGTCCCATCATCTTCCTCACCCTCCTAATATAGTCCTATAAACTTCCTCACCGCCTGGGCAGACTGGTGCCTGCCCCTGTTAAAGTGTCGCCTGGGGCCATTGCCCTATGGATGGGCCGGCCCTGTTTTTTTTTTTTTTTACTGCTAATACCTCTCCCTATACAACCAAGCATTCTGCTAGCCTTTCTTGGTGCTCTATTACATTGTCTGCCTACCTTTAAATCATCTGAAATAATTACAGTCCTATCACCTTCCTCACCCTCCCAATACAGCCCTATCACTTCCCTCACCCTCCCAATATAGTTATGTCCCCTCCTTCACCCTCCCAATACAGTCCTATCACCAAACTGACCCTTCCAATACAGTCCTATCACCTCCCTCACCCTCCCAATATAGTCCCATCAGAACACTGGTGAGACCTCACTTGGAGTATTGTACGCAGTACTGGAGACTGTATCTTAAGAAGGATATTGATACTTTAGAGAGAGTTCAGAGAAGGTCTTCTAGACTGGTTCATGGATTGCAAGATAAAACTTACAAGGAAAGGTTAAAGGATCTTAACATGTATAGCTTGGAGGAAAGACGAGACGGGGGGGATATGATAGAAACATTTAAATACATAAAGGGAATCAACACAGTAAAGGAGGAGACTATATTTAAAAGAAGAAAAACTACCACAACAAGAGGACATAGTCTTAAATTAGAGGGACAAAGGTTTAAAAATAATATCAGGAAGTATTACTTTACTGAGAGGGTAGTGGATGCATGGAATTTCCTTCCAGCTGAAGTGGTAGAGGTTAACACAGTAAAGGAGTTTAAGCATGCGTGGGATAGGCATAAGGCTATCCTAACTATAAGATAAGTCCAGGGACTAATGAAAGTATTTAGAAAATTGGGCAGACTAGAATGGTTCCCAATACAGTCCCATCCCTCACCCTACCAATACAGTCCTATCACGGTGCTCATTCTCCCAATACAGTCCTATCACCTCCCTCACCCCCCCAATACAGTCCTATCACTATCACTTTCCTCACCCTTCCGATACAGGCCTATCACCTCCCAATACAGTCCTATCACAGTGCTCATTCTCCCAATACAGTCCTATCACGGTGCTCATTCTCCCAATACAGTCCTATCACGGTGCTCATTCTCCCAATACAGTCCTATCACCTCCCTCACCCTCCGAATACAGTCCTATCACTCCCCTTAACCCCCAATACAGTCCTATCACCTCCCTCACCCCCCAATACAGTCCTATCACCTCCCTCACCCTCCCAATACAGTCCCATCCCTCACCCACACAATACAGGCCTATCACACGTGTTGTGTAGCTTCGCTGAGACATTTAAATAGATTTTTATGAACGGCTCTTTTCAGGCTGTCCAGCCTCTCAACACGGAGGCTGCAGTGTATGTCATTGCTGTATAGGAAACAAAGACTGGGGATATATTGCTTCGTTTCCACTGAGCGGATCGGTTCGGGTCGGTACAGTTTGGAAGGTTTAGAATGGTCCAGCCTATTCTGGTGAGCGTTTCCATTGCAAATCAGACCTTCAGGGGCTTAGAAAAAATGCTCTTCCTGTCCACCAATCAATGGATTGTATAGTAGCTCCGCTCTAACCGAACCGTACCATTTCCTTTGGCCCTACATCTGAAGCAGGACCCTGAATGGTGCGGTATGGTTCTGTTGTATGGGCCACTTTCATAATGGAAACACTCAAAATAGCGAACCGAACCTAACCGATCCGCTCAGTGGAAACGAGGCATTAGTAACCTTATTTTCCTGTCGAGACGTTTGCTGACAGTGCCAAATGATCCCGAGCAAGGTACTCGTGCCTCACCTCCCCAGTACATGCAGCTACACCTAAGACTGTCTGTACCCAGTCAGACAACATCGTTGAACCTCTGTTTATTTAATTTTGTGTTAGAGAGTCCTTAGTCACTTGACTTTGCCTACACTGGTCACACTAAAAAGAGGCGCTCCAGGGGTTAAATCAGCTGCCAGCATGTTAGCATTTACCCAACTAACACACTATACAATTTCAATCTGCATGCTATACCACTTTAGTTAGAATCAGAGAGTCGAGCACAGTCTGCATGTTAGACATTATGCCTGCCGATGTGTATCTATCCTGTTATTGCAAACCTCGTTAGCATGTTACACAACCTATACAATCTCAGTCAGTATGTTACACCACTTCAGTAAGAAGCAGAGAATTGAGCACAGTCTTCATGTTTGATGATATGCCTGTTAGTATATCTCGCCTGTTCTGGCACACCCATCTGGCATGTTACACGACCTATACAACTTCAGTCAGTATGTCATACCACTTCTGTTAGAATCTGAGAGTCAAACACAGTCTTCATGTTAGATGTTATGTATGTAAATGAGTTTATAGCCTGTTATTACACACCTAGCTAGCATGGTACACGACTTTGACAGCGTCCACAAGTATAACATGGCATACACAGTTGTAAAAGTGTCTCATTATCTCTGGCTAACATACCTTGCATATTCCTGCATGTTTATTACCCTATTAAAAAATTATGCACAACCTTCTACCCCGATTGTACAGCTTTATATACCGCTAGAGGATTGCCGTTGGGGTACCTCGAGCATGTTTGTACTTTGCACAGCAAAAAAAAAAAAAAAGAATTCAAAGTGAATTTCAAAATCTATGCCAAAACAGACAATTTGGAAAACTTTTCCATGTCAACTCTGATTTCAGATTGGTTATTTTGGCCTTACATTGAAATTCACTTTGTATACGCTTTAGTGTTTAATGACATTTATTTATTTGCTTGCTATTCGGCTAACACAATGTACAGATACATTTAGGAGGTCAATTAATGGGTCACTGCCCTATTTGTTAGGATATGGTAATTTGACATTTCGTTATGTAATAGAGCCTTTAGATTATTTTAGAGCATTAGGAGTCCTTACGGCTACATAGGACCTTCACGAGTCATAACGAATTTGCACCAAGCAAAAGGAATAAGACAACACTCTAATTTTAATATAGTTTGTTGTCAGTCCGCTTACAGGTCTGGTGATTTAGATTCTTGTAAATCTCCGCTCCCACTTAGTATGCAGAGTGCTGATTGAATGATAGAAATTGATGCTGTCACCTTTAACTCCCCAATCCACCATGCACAGAGCGTGTTTGCAAACAGCCCTCACATGTGTGAAATTTTCTCCGGTCAGGCAGCTAAGACAATTAAGCTTTCCTTCAGTATGAAATTTAACCCAATTCAGATCTGACAATGTAACCGGTTTTTAACGAAAGTGCAAAATGAGCACAATGTACAGCTGTTAATAGATGACAGTGTTTGTCAGATTTAACTCTCCTCCAAGCAGCTTGCGAATTAGTTACCCATGTGGTTACTTGGCGCAGTTACACTGCTGACAACAAGATAAATGTTTTTCTTGAAAAGGGGATGTGATGGCAGAGAGCGGAGCGTGATTCTGCAGGTTTTCGCTTTGTTCTGCCAAAAACAGCACAATGGCCGGGTCTTTATAGGGACAGGCTGTGATTACACATTTTATTTGCACCCAGATTCTTTATACTTTTTAAATATGTGATCAGAGCTTTAAATGTGCTGAATGGTGGCTTCTTGCCTTGAGCCAAAAGGTTTTATTAACTAAGATGTGAATGTGGATGAACTGAAAACGGTCGATAGTAGTTGATTTAGTTATATGGAATTTTTCCAACAAAGGGGTTTTGTACTATTTTTGCAGTTTAACTTTTAATGCACCACAATTCAATGTCTGGAGAATTAACTCCTAAGTGTCCTAAAAATGACAATATCATATTGTGTAACAATACTGGACAAGACTGGCAAAGATCACTGGGAAAATGCCACTGGACAGCATGCTACTAATGGTGAATGAAGCACTGTCTACAGTCCCAATCAACACCATCACAGAGACCAAAAAGCTCTTACATGCATCAGCGGTCCCCAAAATGCTTGACTTCAAGGTCAGACTGAAAGAGAAACAGTATCCACCATGGAGACTGGAAGCCAAGATAAGTCAACACATTTTTCTCTGAAAAGGTAGTGTTTACATTGCTGAGCCTGCAGGTACTTACACTAGACACCAGAACCACTACATTGCTGTACTGGTTCTGGTGACTATAGTGTGCCTCTATGAAAGCTTTCATTTGCTATGCAACAGCGCCACCATCAGGATGGATTGACTTGGACGAGAGAACAGAGTTAAAATGACTCTTTAGTGGTTGTGACCACAGTGAAACATTAATAACAAGTTTGTGTAATTTCAGAATTCATGTAAAATTTTGGTGACCCTGAAACAAACTCAGAAAGTAGGGGAAGGTTCTGTTTTTCTGAATAGTCCTCCTGTGTTAAACTTAGACAAAGGATTCATCATTCTTCAAGACACCATTTTTAGCAAACGTTCACACCTTTATTTGCTTGATTGTTCCCCAACATAGGAAACACATTAGATATGCATTATATTAAATTAGTTTGCATGCTGATTGATTTATGTTCCTTGCTCTTAGTATTTAAAGGAACGCTATAGTCACCAGAACAACTACAGCTTAATGTAAGTGTCCTGGTGAGTATAATCATTATATTCAGGCATTTTTACGCAAACACTGCCTTTTCAGAAAAAAAGCAGTGTTTAAATTGCCCCTAGGGACACCTCCATCTGAGGAGTGGACACTGAAGGGGCTTCCTGGCTCAGTGCTGCACAGTAGGCAGCACTGCCGTTCAGCGTCTCCACGCTCTGCATTCGGACGCTGAATTTTCCTCATCGAGATGCATTGATTCAATGCATCTCTATGAGGAGGTGCTGATTGGCCAAAATGGCATTTGGCCCGCTCCCTTGCCAATTTTATCCAATCCAATGCTTTCCCCACCGGAAAGCATTGGATTGGCTAAAAATGGGCAATTCTATGTCACCAAGGGGGCGGAGACGATGCACATATGCGTCGCTAGAAATAAGGTGAGTTTTAATTCCTTTTAAGGTGGCTAATGGGGGCAAGCCATCTAAATGGTGGGTTTAACACTATAGGGTCAGGAATAGATGGTTGTGTTCCTGACCCTATAGAGTTCCTTTAATTTGCAACCACATGGACTTGATACCAAGGGTGGTGAAATGATCTACAGGGAGTGCAGAATTATTAGGCAAGTTGTATTTTTGAGGATTAATTTTATTATTGAACAACAACCATGTTCTCAATGAACCCAAAAACTCATTAATATCAAAGCTGAATATTTTTGGAAGTAGTTTTTAGTTTGTTTTTAGTTTAGCTATGTTAGGGGGATATCTGTGTGTGCAGGTGACTATTACTGTGCATAATTATTAGGCAACTTAACAAAAAACAAATATATACCCATTTCAATTATTTATTATTACCAGTGAAACCAATATAACATCTCAACATTCACAAATATACATTTCTGACATTCAAAAACAAAACAAAAACAAATCAGTGACCAATATAGCCACCTTTCTTTGCAAGGACACTCAAAAGCCTGCCATCCATGGATTCTGTCAGTGTTTTGATCTGTTCACCATCAACATTGCGTGCAGCAGCAACCACAGCCTCCCAGACACTGTTCAGAGAGGTGTACTGTTTTCCCTCCTTGTAAATCTCACATTTGATGATGGACCACAGGTTCTCAATGGGGTTCAGATCAGGTGAACAAGGAGGCCATGTCATTAGATTTTCTTCTTTTATACCCTTTCTTGCCAGCCACGCTGTGGAGTACTTGGACGCGTGTGATGGAGCATTGTCCTGCATGAAAATCATGTTTTTCTTGAAGGATGCAGACTTCTTCCTGTACCACTGCTTGAAGAAGGTGTCTTCCAGGAACTGGCAGTAGGACTGGGAGTTGAGCTTGACTCCATCCTCAACCCGAAAAGGCCCCACAAGCTCATCTTTGATGATACCAGCCCAAACCAGTACTCCACCTCCACCTTGCTGGCGTCTGAGTCGGACTGGAGCTCTCTGCCCTTTACCAATCCAGCCACGGGCCCATCCATCTGGCCCATCAAGACTCACTCTCATTTCATCAGTCCATAAAACCTTAGAAAAATCAGTCTTGAGATATTTCTTGGCCCAGTCTTGGCGTTTCAGCTTGTGTGTCTTGTTCAGTGGTGGTCGTCTTTCAGCCTTTCTTACCTTGGCCATGTCTCTGAGTATTGCACACCTTGTGCTTTTGGGCACTCAGTGATGTTGCAGCTCTGAAATATGGCCAAACTGGTGGCAAGTGGCATCGTGGCAGCTGCACGCTTGACTTTTCTCAGTTCATGGGCAGTTATTTTGCGCCTTGGTTTTTCCAGACGCTTCTTGCGACCCTGTTGACTATTTTGAATGAAACACTTGATTGTTCGATGATCATGCTTCAGAAGCTTTGCAATTTTAAGAGTGCTGCATCCCTCTGCAAGATATCTCACTATTTTTGACTTTTCTGAGCCTGTCAAGTCCTTCTTTTGACCCATTTTGCCAAAGGAAAGGAAGTTGCCTAATAATTATGCACACCTGATATAGGGTGTTGATGTCATTAGACCACACCCCTTCTCATTACAGAGATGCACATCACCTAATATGCTTAATTGGTAGTAGGCTTTCGAGCCTATACAGCTTGGAGTAAGACAACATGCATAAAGAGGATGATGTGGTCAAAATACTCATTTGCCTAATAATTCTGCACTCCCTGTATAGAAGCTTGTTATGCTTTTCAATATTTTGTGTAATATGTAAATATATTGGTTGTATTCTTTTTTTCTTATAGTAATAAACATTAATATTCTTTCTAGTTTATTTGAGGAGTTATAAGTAAACCAGAAAAACTAGTGGAAATCTGGTAATATGCCTAAATTTTTTTTAGATTTTTGCGAGTGCATCTACCAAATTTATTTCCAATTGATGTAATAATATTACACTATGAGCTTGGTTTTTTTTGTTTATTTTTTGTGGCGGTGTTATAAGAGATTTGAGAAGAGTTTTTATATGAACTCTATAGTGTTAGAAATATAGTCACGTATGCCTAAGGCTATAATGTTCTTGTGTCTATTTATATTATAGTACTCCCCTGTGTGCATTGAAAAATGTGACCTACTTACCTATTTTTTTCTGGCACGCTAGTCACGACTCGGCTGCCCTATCATAGGGAAATTTTGAGAGGCTAGTGCGGCAAATCACCGCTCTGCCCCAATCAGCACCTCCTCATAGAGATTTATTGACTCAATGCATCTCTTTCAGGAACAACCAGCATCTCCATGCAAACCGTGGAGATGGTGAATGTTGGTCCTGCAATCTGCAGAACTGTACTCACAAAGTCCTTCACTGGCTGATAAAGTGACAGCAACTAAAGGTGGTCTATGACAAGACCATGTTAACACTACTCTGCCTGCAGGGACAGGCTACACCAGAACTGCTACATAAAGCTGGTGCCTTTAGTGCCCCTTTAAAGGAACATTTGGGGGTAATTTATTCCTTATTTGTGTTGACGGTAGTGTTTGACACCACTGGTATAGTTGGTAATTTTCATGCCTATATTTCGGAGCTTGTTCTGTTGAAATCCAGAGTTTTGCACTCTATTAACAAAATATTTCACAAATTAAAGGACCATTAAAGTCAGCGAGGCCACTTAATTTCAATAATGTGGTCTGGATGCAGTGGCTCTGTAGTTTTAACCAGTCCTAAAACTAATTATGAGTGATACAAGATTCATATACAAACACAAAGATAAAGCACCGCGCTTACAGCAGCAGTGGCTTAGTATCCAACAACTTAAAATACATAGTAAAAACAAAGAAAAACGTTACCTGCGCTCTGGCCTAAATCCCCATGTGCATTTGAACAAAAATGGAGGCTCTTTAGTTCTATTCTAAATGGCCATTTGAATGTATAAGCTCACCAGCCACGTCAAGGCAAGCCTCAATAGGTGAGTTCCTACACTAGCCATTAGATATGCTGATATCAGCCAAGAGTCTCCAATGAGACAGGAAGGGGTATTTTATAAACCCTTTAACATTTAACCCTTTATAGGGCTTCTGCACATACAATAAACTTTGCTGAGGTGAGGTGATTTGTATGATATAGCCCTATTCAGGGTAAAGTATGTAGGGGTTTATAAAACACCCTTTCATGTCTCATTAGAGACGTCTATACTTTGTCTCATACCAGCAAAGTTTATTGAATGTGTAGAAGCCCTATAAAGGGTTAAATGTTAAAGGGTTTATAAAACACCCCTTTCTGTCTCACTTTGTCTGATATCAGCAAAGTTTATTGTATGTGCAGAAGCCCTATAAAGGGTTAAATGTTAAAGGGTTTATAAAATACACCTTCCTGTCTCATTGGAGACTCTTGGCTGATATCAGCATATCTAATGGCTAGTGTAGGAACTCACCTATTGAGGCTTGCCTTGACGTGGCTGGTGAGCTTATATATTCAAATGGCCATTTAGAATAGAACTAAAGAGCCTCCATTTTTGTTCAAATGCACATGGGGATTTAGGCCAGAGCACAGGTAACGTTTTTCTTTGTTTTTACTAAAACTAATTATGCACTATGATGTTGCTTTTCGCAAAAAAATATTTAAGAGACACTATAGGCACTAAAACAATGTTAGCTTTATGAAGAGGTCTTGGTGTATAGATCATGCCCCTGCAGTCTCACTGTTTCATTCTTTGCGATTTAGGAGTTAAATCACTTTGTTTATACAGTCCTAGCCTTACTTCTTTGGACTGAGACTCACACAGACCCCCCTACACACATCCTGAAAAAGAATCAACATTTTTTAGGTTACAATAATACACAATGTGTC